TTGTTTTCTTAATAGAAGGTTACAAAATTCAGTTGTTGAGGCAATAGTGACACGAATTTAAAGTCGATTATTTTTTTATGGTTAATCAAAAATTGTATTGAAGTCCGGAGAGTTCTCGCAAACTCCCTCTCAAAATGTCAACTTACCGTTACAACCATCAAATTTTGTATAAAATGAAAACAAATAATACTGAAATAAATTCCCTAACACTCGTTGTACTCTCGAATGGAAGGGAACATGGCTTTGAGCAAACACTATGAACTCCTTCATTAACTTGAGTGAGACTTCATCTGGGGAGAGAGCTGCCGAGGTACTATACAATCTCGCACACCTTTCTCGCTATATAAAACTGATTCCCATGACCCGTGAGAGTCTCCCAACAACAGCTGCATCATTTGTATGCATCCATTGTTGTTCTGCCCAAACCAACTGCGAATGCCAATTCCCAAACTCATACCAAACACAAACCTTGTGCAATACTTTCTTCAAAACTGCAGAACCAAAAGAGCAGATGTCGAACAAATGGTTTCTACTTTCAAGACCCTCAGGACAAAGTACACAACAAGGATCACAATGAATCCCCCCATTTAGACAACCTGTCCTTTGTTTTGATTCTGTCTAATACAACAAGCCACAACAACACACTATGTTTCGGAAAGATTGGCTTACCCCAGACAGCATGATACCATGTAACCTTCGGGGAGGGATCTCTACTGGATTCCCAGACAAGCTTGACCGAGTATTTAGCTAGAGTGACTCCAACCCATGCCAATGTGTCCCCAGAACCAGATATGTGTTGTTGCGCCAGCCCTCGACATTTGAGGACCTTTCTCCAAATCCAAGTACTAACAGTACTAATAGGAAGAGACCATATTTTCTTCCCTTAATTCGGTACTTCTGCACCCACGCTACCCACAACGAGCCAGCCACAGCTAACAAATTTCATAGATGCCTGATCACGCAAGCCTTCTTCCAAGAAAATGGGTAAATTATGTTTTGGTCCACGTTTTGACATTTTGAATCGAAACGATCCGATTGAAATTTGGAAAATATTATTGCAAATTCAGTTTTTTCTGTAGGAGATTACAAATTGATGCAAATAGTGACACAAATTCAAAGTAGATTACTCATATGGCTCGTAAATGTTTAGTCGGTAATCTATAGTTTCATAATAGTTCGGTATGGGTTTTGACTAAGGGAAAAAGTCTTAATATTCAAGACCAACAAAAATCGTGATTCCTAATATCGTAATCCACATCTATTCCAAATGACCATCCACTAAAGTCTCAAATGTGTCAAATAGTCAGAAACTGCAGCTGCAAGTCACCCCTCTCCAACTCTCCTTCATAGTCGCAAGAGCAAACCTCGCACTTGGTAGTCTTCGTTTCTTTATTTAATGGTTGTCAATGATTATATGATATTATGATCTTGTGGTGTTTGATGTATTGCTAGTTGCCACTCGCTAATTGGATGAACACGTTGAGTATTTTTCATTCTATATGTTGGGAATTTGGGATTTGGATTTAGATTATGAAATAATGGTGGATATTGTATTGAAATTATTGCTTCTAATTATTATTTTATATTAAAATATAGAAGTATAGTTAAATTGTTTTGAATTATTGTTATTGTTGGTGCCTAATTTCTTATCGAACCGATAACAGGCGGTATATCAATAGGCTTTATTGGTTCGATTTTTTGTATACATTTTTTGTTTAATGGTGAACTTATACCAAACCAATCCGATTAGCACCCCTAGTTGTTAGAGAGAGACCCCCACATTGCTACTTAAAAATAAAATAAATTATATGAAGAAAATAAAATAAAGCTAAAAAAATTCAAATATATCACTTCTACCCTTGTCGACTCATCTCCCTCCTCTCATCGTTGACATCTGAAATTGTAATTACCACTTAAATAACTTAATACCACATGGATTAAATTGAAGAAATTGCGATTTATAAGGCCAATTTAACCATGTTAATTAAATTGGTTGAAGTTGGCTACGAGTGATGGACTTTTGGGTTATATGTCATGTCATGCAAGGTGCCTCAGTGTAGACTTACTCGCCACCGACCCATCAACCATGACATCATCCAATGGGGTTGCGTGGGTATACGTCATTCCAACTCATCAAGCATGACATCACCCTAGAGGGTCAATGCGTACATCCCAACCCATCAAGTATTTGTGTGTCAAGCATGACATCATCTTAGAGTGTTGATGCGCATCCACCTAACACTTAGGTGTCAATCATGATATTATTCAAGGGGGCAACCATGAGTATCACTCATCAAGACCCTACAAGTATTATGCCACCTTAAGGGGTTAGTGTGCATTCATCAACTGCCACGGCGTCGACCCCCATAAGTATCTAGACGTCAAACTTGACATCATACAAGAAGATTAGACATGTGAACCCTCATCCTCAACTAGTCAAGCAAGATACGCAAAACAAGATACACATTATGGGTAGAGAACCAAGGTATGAAGCATGGTAAATTCCCAACGAGACCATTAAGACTCTGAGTGTTAAACATGCACACTCCACATGGTAGAGAACCTAGGTATCAAGAATGACATCATACAAGGGGGTCAACATGGAGATCACTAAGTAATCTAGCATCAAGGTATTGTCAAGCATGATATCATACAAGAAGGGTAAGTATGGATATCACTGAGTCATCTAGCATCGAGGTACTGCCAAAGTGGTCACCATTGTCTTGAGATGGTAACACACTCATCGTGACTATGGATTGCAATTTTGACCTGACCCGTTTTACCCAATCTGTTTTGAGGAGGGTTTGACCTGACCAGTAGGCGGGGCGGACGAGCATGGGTACTTTCCTCTACCTGACCTGCCTTGACTCGCCCCATTCTCAACCCGTTGATGCCTAAAATACATGTAATTTTACTCAAATTACTTATAATTTTACTATTATTACCTTACATTGTGCTAAAATGAAGTTATAAATAGGTGAGAACCTCATATTTTTTAATAAGTTAACTACATTATCATATTTTTTTAGTTTGTTTCTTGGTTATTTTAATAAAAAATGAATATTTCCAATGTTTTTCTTTTAAATTACGTACTCATATGGGTTGACCTGCCCCGACCCATGTCCTGTGATGAATTACCTGACTGGGATGAGATTTTTCAGGTGGGGGCGCCATAAGCAAAGTCGCCTATTCAAAAGATCACCATCCGGAGTGGCGACACAACAAGGTCGCGTTTCAGCCACACAAACTAAGACCACACGTCATATATCTCGTTGGCCTCGCATGATCCTCGTCTCTCCTCCTCAACCAACCACTACATGCCACATGTCTCATGACCACTAATCCTTATGTCGATGTTTTTAACTTGCGGGTTTATGTTATGTCGCTATTATGAGTCGCGATATTCTTATATCGCTTGTTTAAAAGGTACATTTGCCCGCCAAATCACCAAATACATTGAGAAATCATTGTAGAATAGCATCATTATGGAGAAAAGATTTACAAAATCGTTTATATGTGGAAAAACAACCCTTAGATTGAGTCATAGTTTAATACGAGGCACTTTAAGATGGTAGATTAGTCATCGAGTTACCTTATCTATCTCCTTGCCCCACGTTACGCGATGGATACCCTTCCTTTATCGCGACATTGATGATGGTGATGATGAATGTTTCGTCCAAGAATAAACCGCCCACAAAACAGCACCCACACATTATATGAAGCCACAAAAACATTCACAACGACAAAACCCACTAAACGCCACGCTTTCCATTCTCCAATATGAGAGGTCCACAGGCATCTTTGTTTCACTTTTTTGAGTTTTTCCTTCCTGACTAGTGGCCTTCTGAGTTCTGCCTAACTAATGCTCCAAAAGCCCATTAGCTTTTTCATAATAGATGAACCATAGGGTCAAACATTATTTTTTCCCCCCTTGATTAGACTCGATTGGAAACCAAATAAAAAGTGTTCAAATTTTGATCCAAAATTTCGTTTCTTAATCTTTGGGTGTGATCGAAACTTGCATGAGGCGCTGAATTCTTCTACTATGTTATAAAATATTGGTGTTTCGATATACAAATTTAACTTGTACAATGAAATTAAACGTACAAGTTGCGTTGGTTCCTTAATTTGTACCATAACATAAAATTAAAAATTCAGTTTGCACCATAAAAGATTTCTTACACGAAATACAAATTGAATTTGTACCATAACGGTAAAAGTCAAAGTTGTTTTTCTCGTTGATTGTTGGTCCCATGGCTAGTGATGACAATGAGGCGAGTACCTCAAATCCCATAATCACCCCACAATAAGCGCGGGCCTGACCGGGTAATAGCCGTGTGGATACGGGGCGGAACGGGTTGATCCATCTTTATATGTTATTTGCAAAAAGAGTGTTAGCATTTAACTCTTTTACAAAATCGTTTTAAAATTTATTTGGAATGAAAATATGATTTTATAAAGGTCAAAAGAGGACACATACATATAGATTTCAATGCAAATCATGATAGACGAGTCAAGAATGGGACGGTGCAGGTCAAAAGCAATACTCATGTTCCATCCACATTACAATGTGTTGGATAATACTCGCCCCAAACAAATCGAAACAAGCCGGATCGCACAAGTTAGATCCGAAATTGCCATCACTACCTCAGACTCGAACCTAGAGACCAACAACCAACCCGGCAAAACAAGATACACAAAAGTCTCCCATCAGATTTCAATACAAAATCCTCACTCTCATAGGCAAAAGATTAAAAACCTTTTATCTTTTGACGAATTTTGACGACTCCAATAAATGGGAATTTTCAAGCACTATGTCCCTCATCCCCACCAATTACTTTTTTTTATCAAACTCACTGTGCTAAATCATCAAAGGCGACTGATTTCACAAACCATATGTGGGAGAGAATAAAAGCCAGAAAGGGCAAAAAAGGTGGCAAGTGACACAGACCCATTTACACAATTATTAGCCTTCACGCCTCCACCATTGGGACAAAATACAGAATCTCTTCGGCCCCCTTCTTTCCCAACTCTTTTTCCTCCCTTCCTCTCTTCTCCTCCATGTGGCTTTGAGACCAACGACACTAGCTTCCTACCTTCCTTCCTTCCAAATTGCCAATCAACCCATCTCCACCAACCCATCATCTCTTGTTATCTTCATCACTCTTTCCACCATAACAGAGTCCTCTGGCAATAACAGAGGCCCCGCAGCAAAAGAATCAACAGCATGGAAGAACTAACAGAGGCCACCAACAACAACAACGGCAGCAGCAGCTCTAGCTCTTTCCACTACAGGAAGTCGAGGGTGATGTCATCCGAGATAGTGGAGATAGTGGAGCTGGAAGAGAACACTGTGAGCGTTGGAAGATCCTGCAGTAGTGGGGTTGATGGCAATGGCGATGTATATGTTGGTGTTGGGAGAGATGATTTGGATGCTGTGAAATGGGCTGTGGATCACATCTCACCTGGAGCTCGCTTGTTCCTCGTCCATGTCTTCCCTCCCATCCACTACATCTCAACTCCAGGTAAACACATTCATTCATCACATTCTCCACTTCCTGGTTGTGAGAATTTGATTTTTCAGGGGAACAGAAACAGAGTTCCCCTGGCTACAAAAAGCTGAATTCATGGTTTTGTTTCTTTGGTGGGGGGGCAGTTGGAAGATTGTCCAAGAACCAGTTGAGCAAGGACCAGCTGAGATTCTACATCAAGGAAGAGAACAACAGGAGGAGGAGTCTGTTGCAGAAGTACATTCGCTTGTGCGACGATGCCAAGGTTCCGGTGGACACAATGCTGCTGGAGAGCAGTGAGATAGGGAAAGCCATTGTTGAGCTCATCCCTGTTCTCAACATCACCAATCTCGTACTGGGCACCAAGCTTCTCCCCCGTCCTAGGTAACTCGTATGAACGAGTTTTCTCGATCGCCTTCCTTCTTGCTCTCTCTTATCGTACCTGAAGAAAAGGTCTGAATTGCCTACTAAGTTCATATATGGGTTCGTTTGCTTTAGTTTCTGGGTTTTCATGTCATATCAGGAGGCTGATAAAGAAAGTGGGGAAAGCAGAATACGTGAAGAAGAATGCTCCAGATTACTGCCAAGTCACCGTTGTTCACCAGGGGAAGGCCATTGATCTTCTTCATTGGGAGGAAACCAGAAAGCAGCCCACCGGTGCTCGGAAGAATTCGAGGTCTGCATCTTCGTCGTCGCGTATTCAGAGAGTAGCATCCATGGCCAGTCCTGACAGGAAGTTCTTTCAATGCGCTTGCTTTTCTGGCAAATCCCATTGACCATTGAGCTTGCTAGGGTCACGAATGTGTTTCCAAGTCCAAAGGAAGTAAATCAATTTTTATTTTTCTTCTTCTAATTCACCTGTGTAGGGATATTATATGATGCAGAATTTTTATGAATAAAAAGCCTTGGTTCTAACTTCTAACTATTCTTTCATTCATTCTTTACACTACCAGTGGCAGTTACATACCAACATCAGAATCATGTAACACATAAACTAGCAAACTTCTCTTAACATCCTCCTGCGAAACGTATTCCCTTGCGTTGCCAAAAGTATAATCCCTTCGAAATTTCTACGGCTAACACGTTACAAAGATGGTCACCTAACAGAAAGCAGAGCGACGAGACTTCCAGCGACATCAAGATCGACTATCCACTTCTGGTTTTTCATCTTCCATACCATCTGCCACATCCCTATATAATCAATCACAGCAGAAGGGGAAAGAAAGCGCGTAAGGAGAGGAATGGTGTAGTAAACGCAAGACAGAATCCTTGTGCCTTGATGAAAGCTACATCTTCAGTTACCTACCTAGCTTCACCATTCTGGACGGACTCATCGTCGGTGTTAGAGCTTCTCGCCTGAGGCTTGTGGTCATCCTCGTGATCCGAGTCTTCATACTCCTCCCCATTCCATATACGAGGCCTCGGTCTCTGATCCATCTCCTCTTCATCCTACAACACGAAGGAATTACTAATCTAACAAACACCATGAGGAAATGGCTTTACAAAAGAACACCATGCATTCGAGCATGAGGGACTGACGACCAACTTACCTCTTCTGGAGCTTCAGTCACAGATGGTGTTGTCTGAAAGGGCACACTGGGTGCATTAGGAAGTCTACTGAGTTGTTCCAGCAACATGTTCCTGTAAAATCAAAGTGATAAACTGTCACAACAAGAACAGAAGGCAAAACCATGCAATGATGGAGCATATAGCATAATTTGACTGACACATATAAGGGGAATGATTGGTTTTAGACAATTTACTCAACCCTAAAGCCCCATATCTTCACAATTTCATGCATGAGAGAAAGCATCAACATATATACCAAATGTCGCTTGAAACCAGCCAAATTAGTGAATTACCAAATAAATGCTATCTGCCTCGTGCTAATATACTCTCTGTATCCAGGAAGCATTAACCACAGAGTACACAGGAACAGCAAAGAAAAGGATTTATAAGAGGATTAAGCCTCTAGGAATGAGAAAAGACATTATTATGCACTAAAGCTTACGCCAATATTCCCCATGATCAGATAAATACTTTGTTTTGCATAGCATTTGTCATCCTCCTTCACCATTAAGTTGAAGTCTTCAAGAAACATTGCAGTTCATTTCAATTAATTTCTCTTGTACTACAATACAGCTACTTAAACTTTTAAATTTACAGCTCAATAAGTCTTCCAATTAAGCGTGTGCAGAGTAGAATGTTACACTGCCACCAAATGAGGACCCATAATTCGGCTAGTTTTAACATATTTCTTTGCGAAGTAGCACGAACAGGAAAACCTTTAAGCCAGAGGAATGGCAGATCCACAATTGTTACAGGACAAGCAAAAGGACAGTCACTTGAATTCGGAGAGCTAAAAATTTGACAGGCCAAGGACTACTGGCCATAACCTCCACAATCGAAAGTTTAAAACAAATATGAAGCAATCAGATCATCTTCAGAAGGTAGCATCCATATGGCTCTAATGAAAAAATAGGTCCTGAGCACCAGTATCATTCAGGTCTATGTGCCAGTGGCATTTTAGATTTATCCATTGATCAATCATATAAAAAATGGTGTTCACGTCAAGAATAAAGTCATAAACCATATTCTATACATATCTATCAGCGTGATCAGGTCTTTCCCAAATATGTTGTTCATGTGGATTAACCAACCAATAATAACATGAATCAACACTGACAGTGATGAAATTACCTTATATTCTCCATATCTTTCGGCGAGTTTAAGTTTTCAATATTGGTAGGCTCCACATGAAGTGTATAATCAGGACCAAAGTACTCATAATACTCGTTGTAAGGCAGCTTGTTATCAGGCTCAACTCCAACTGCAACCGCTGTCTGCATAAACGAAAGGCAGCCAAAATCACAGGAGAGTTCTTTAAGGATTCAGAGAATGAAAGACAGCAGAGAGTGATGCATTAACATACCTCATAACACCAGCAACGAGCCACATTTCGGATGGTATACCCACCACCACCCAAAACCATTAGAGGAACGTTGAAAGACCTCAGGAAACGGAGGCAATCAGCATGGCCCTTCACAGACAAGTTGAAGCAACCCAACCTGTCACCAGTCAAGGAATCTGCTCCACATTGAAGAACCACAGCATCAGGCTGATAAACCTCCATAACTTTCTGCATTACAGGCTGAAACATTCTCCTGAAACTGTCATCATCAATCCCATCATTCAATGGAATGTTAAGGGCATAGTTCTTCCCTTGGCCAGCCCCAACGTCCTTAATATGTCCAGTTCCTGGAAAGAAGTCTCCATACTTGTGGAAAGACACGGTCATCACCCTGTCAGTTGTGTAGAATGCTTCCTCTACTCCATCTCCATGGTGTACATCTATATCAACATACAGCACACGCTGCGACCCAAAAGAGAAAATGAGCAAAAAAGGGTGATTCTAAATTAACAAAAAAAGACTTAGCATCCTAAGAAGCACAAATCAAGGAGGAACGAGGCTTGGTGAATTACCCTGTGAACCTTGAGAAGCTCGAGAATTCCGAGCACGATATCATTCACATAGCAAAACCCTGAGGCCTCGCTCTTCTTGGCGTGGTGCAATCCACCGGCCCAGTTAATTGCAATGTCGGCTTCGCCGCGATTGAGCTTGACCGCCGCGCCAATCGAACCACCGGCCGAGGCCTGGCAAAACCCGAAAAGCCCGTCAAACACCGGACAATCCTCGCCCACGTTGAATCTCTTGAGATGACGTCCATTGACCGGATCGGAAACCGATTCCGGGGATACGGAGGAGAGGAAGTCGATGTAGTCGTCGGAGTGGAACTTCCGGACGTCATCGCGGGCGGCAGCGAAAGGGCGATTTATCTCCATACGGCGGTGGAGGGAGTAGTGAACAATTAGGTTATGCGCCATTCTGATGCGGTGGGGCTTCATCGGGTGCCCCTGTCCGTAGTAGTAGTTGCCGATCGTCGGCTCGTAGAAATAGGTCACGCGGCGCTTCTTCGCGTCGGAGCCTACTGAGGGAAGAGACGCCCCGCTAGTCGAGTCTTCCATTGCTAATCGGAATGGAGAACTGGAAGCAAAATCAGATGTTTCCCACCAGCGTCGTCGCGACCTCGATGGGAGTGGCGGGAGGTGCGAGTTCTCTCTACTTCGTGACAACGCCGACGACGGACCTCGGAGTCGGAGAGAATCGGAGGTGAAAATTTTGGACTGCTGCTTTTCCTTTACACCTCAGAAGAGCACTGTTTGACTACTTTGTAAGTTTGAGCAGAAAATATAGACAAGGAACGAGAGAGTGGCCTACGGGCTACGGAATTACGGATAATGAACACGAAGGTAGTGGGCCTTTCCCTTTCCTGGGAGGATTTGGATTGTGGACCAAGGCTTCGTTCGAATCAAGGATTTGGGCTTTACCTTCAACCATCCGGCTAGATAACCTAGAAGTCTGTACTTTTTTTTGGTAGAAAGTTCGACGCTAAAGCGTCTAATTCGTATTAAGAATTAAGCGATCATGGAAAACTCTCACAATGTCATGACGTAGCCAATGGCCAAGATCCACGCCGTACACATCGAACAGATGTGTACCAGAATGAAACAGCCAAACAGGTGACATCTGCTAGCGAGAAAGTCAGCAGCAAAATTAGCCTCTCTATACACATGTGAGACTTTCACCTCCCAATCAAACGAAAAAAATGGTCTCGTATGAATTTTTTTTTTTTACAATAGGTAATTTCCATTCAAATCAACGATAGGAGTACAAGCAAAACCGAGTTACAAGATCGGATTTAAAATGTCAAGCACTTGGATCCATTCTTGAGGGAGAGATCCATTTGTCGCTTCCTTAGCCACCCAATCTGCACTTTTGTTAGTAGATCTTGGCGTGAAGAAGATATTCAATCTGATATGCGTCTGAAGGAGAAAGCGAATCCTCTGAATCCATGCTCTAACTTGCCATGGACCAACTTTTTGCGGATCCTGAATAATGTCGACAAGCACTTTGCAGACCGAGAAGATTGAAGCAGGACCGAGAAGGAGGTTGCCATTCTCACAGCAATCAACAAGGCTTTAGCTTCCGCAACTATCGCTGAAGAACATAAAAAGGTCCTAGCACTACCATCCACAACTTGCCCATGGGTTTTTTTTATGATGACCCCATATGACTTTGTTGATGTTGTGGCTGTAGTGAGGTTGCGACGAAGAACAAAATTTGTTTAGCCGATAATTTTGAAAAATTATGAAAGTGGACAACAAAAGATATAAATGGATTCAGTTACTTCTTTAATAACTAAAAATCAAAAAAGAAAGATAAGTTCGCAATATTAAGCATTATCTCGCACATCATCTTTCTGAATCCCCATACAATCAATATTGCTCTCTTGGATAATTTTCTTCATACTGAGGATAAATACCAAAATCAACTAATTAAATTAAAAACTACATAATCAATCACTATCCATCACAGATGAGTGCTAATTTTCGAACAATCAACTCTTGTTCAACATTAGGTTTTTCTCCTAATTTTCCCACAAGGATAGATATACGCTACCTCAATCAGTGGGGCCACGACAATGGATAGGGGAGTGGAATCAATGCACTCGATTAGGTCTATTCTCCGATAGGGAGAGGCGTCTTGGGACTCTGAAGATGACGTGGATGGGGTAATGGATGGATTATGAGGAGATTGAGGGGGGATTGAAAAGTGGCAAGGTAAATGGGGCTTGAGCTGGTTAGGAGAAATTTTGGGATGATATTAGGAGGTGAAGTCGGGTTGTCGGTGAGCTTTGGTTGGAGTGGGGATGAGATTATGTCTTTGCGGGCATTGATGGGTTGTATATGGATTTGGAGGGGAAGAGGGAAGGTGGTCGAACCTAGGGATTGAAACGATGGAGGGAGCGGCTGGGGAGATTTTGAGAGCTAGGTCGGTAGGGGATATGTCTTGGTCGGCAAGGGAGATGAGCACTAGGTCAGTAGGAGTAGAGGGGCGTTGGTCGGCTAGGAATGGTATGAAGAGCTTTGAGGTGTACGATTTTCACAGAATAAAGAAGAAGGTTGTACAATTTGAGAGGGCAGGGAGTGTTGAGCGCATCATGGGTTTCTTTGGGGTCAAATGGGATATTACAAAAGAAGCAAAAATCATGTTGGGCGGGGACTCGAACTGGGGGTGAGTTTCAATGAAAACAGGCCTACAACCAAAAGGAAACTGACGTAAACACACATATATAGCACATCTGATATTACAAATTGGAGTTTCCTTTGATTGGGTTGTGTTATTGAAGCTCATTTTCACAACAAGAACAAGTATAATTATATAAGTTTTTTTCTCCTCGGTTTTTGATTTTTTACTTGGCAACAAAAAACAGACACATCCAATGATACAAAACGAGACTTTAAGAGTTCTGAAACACTTTTTCAAAGACCGATATAAGGGAGTTCCTTAACTAAGGTTACTTATTCGTGGAGCAGTAGCGAGAGTGTCTATATTGGAAGAATTTTATAGTTAGAGCTTCTATTATGCGTTGATATTATATTATCTTAGTGAAAATATTATTTAATTTACTACCAAAATATTCACACTCATAAGAAAGGAGAAATCTAAAGTCAAAGCAAACGATCCCCACAAAATATGCAGAAATATAGAATGAGCCAGCTACATGTGAATCATGGGCCCAAATGAGGCGGAAGGAACCCTAAATCTAAACAAGCCTCTGCAACTCAAAAGTTGGCTCTCAAAACCCTGCCCCCTCATATCAATACCCTACCTTCTAGATTTTCTCTCCAAACCTATATAATCCTATCCAGAACTTTCGTCGCCACATCCCGAATCCTATCCATCAACTCTTCCTTCCTCCTCAACATATCCCTCACCATCTCCCTATACAGCCTAATTATTCTGCTAACTTGAAAATTCGTTAGTATATACTAACTAATATCCAAAATATATGAACTAATATCCAAGTCTGCTGAGTATCTAGATAACACATACTAGTATTCAAAACATCACAAACTAGTATCCAGATAGCAGATACCAACTAATATCCACAATCAACCAACTAGTATTCAATATGGATACTCTTATGTGTTATCTGGATACTCTTAAGTGTTATCGGGATACTAATTATGTGTTATATGAATACTATTATGTGTTGTCTAGATATTAGTTTGTGAATTTGGGATAATAGTTGATTCTTGATGGATATCAGTTAGCAAACTTTGAATACTAGTCTGTGCTCTCTAGATACTTTAGTACTTGGATACTAGTTCATGTATTTTGGATATCAGTTAGTATCTGCTAACGAATTTTCAAGTTAGTAGATTAACTTTCCCCCTCCCTATAACCTCTAAGTATCTTCAAAACACAGACAAGCTTCCCTGAACCTCTGAAGCTCATGCAAATCAGCATATGTATAGACTTGCTAATCGCAAAAGAATCACCATTGCTCCCAATTTCAAAATCTTCCAATCAGTAAAGTCCTTTAGTATGCATGTAGAGACTCCAACATCTTCTCGGCTTCCTCCATCAACCCAACCATGAATTCCGTCTCATTCACCAAATCGACGGTCACCATTGCTGATACTCTCTCTTTCGTTATCTTTGTGAAACAAATTACCGAATTTCCTTACAAAATTCATGCTCCAATGAATAATAATCCATAATTTTTTTACAACTCATTCATATTGCTTTTTTTTTGCTCTGGAGCGAGATCATGGAGTCTTATCCCACGAATTGTTTGACCTAAGCCTTAACTTGCTTTATTAATTGTACAAGGTTCTGAAGCTCTCATAATATTGCAGTTTTCTCAATTACAAAGGATACTGTTGGAATAGTTAACAACTAAACATCCTACTAAAACATTGTAACCTATATTTTCTAAGTTATTGGCGACATTATTTTGTTATTGATCACAAGAACAACCCAAACCTAACAAATATATGTTTAGCATATTCGTAACATGCTGAATAACCAAAGAGATTCACTATATCTAAAGAGTCTAATTGAATATCAGCCTTTCGATCGTCGTTCTTTCGAGCAAGTTGTAGCTCATCTATAGCCCTGCAGATCTCGATGAGCATGATGGTACATTTACCATTACTCATAAAAAAGGACCACAAAGCACAACCAAGGTGTTTCTTGATATACCACTCAGTACCGCTACCAAAAATTGACATCCTTACAAAGCCATATGGATTGACTATTGTCCAGTCCTCCTTATGTGTCCTCCGTGACAACATCTGTTGGGATTGAGTCGGACGAACTTTGTTTCTAATAGCTCCCTCTGTGTCCATGGATTTACGAGTCCATGGATTTGTGTGGTTGCCTCGCTGAAAAGTATAGTTGTCTGTAGACTTCTATAGTTGCCAACAGCCCACTCCAAAGATTAGTGCTCCATCATTTCCACCGATATATGAGTCCATGGATTTGTGTGGTTGCCTCGCTGAAAAGTGTAGTCGTCTGTAGACTTCTATAGTTGCCAACAGCCCACTCCAAAGATTAGTGCTCTATCATTTCCACCGATATATGAGTCCAACCACTGGACGAGTAGGAGCCAGAATCTCTATTGTGCCTGGTTGGACGATGATCTTTCAAACCACCTTAGCAACTTGACAATAAGCATAATCATAGTGTTACTACAAAAAGTTTGTTCATGCCAGATACCATCCATGCTCAATGGCCCTGATAACGAGGGGGCATGGAAAACCTACCACTTGCAAGTTGAAGGTGAAATGTCAGGTTGGTGGCACATTGATATTGAAAAGGTGGACAAAGGGATGTGTCCAAGAAGATACCACACTTTTGTATAAGAAGGAAAGTGTAGGGGTGATGACATGCAAAAAGTACTATTTTAGACCTCCCATATTATGGCAAGAGTTACATGGTTTGTACATCATTATTGCCATAATAGGTTGGATTTGCTTAATAATCACTCAATGTGTGTTTTAGATGAGATGAATGCTTAACCCACCGTTTCTTTTCATTTCCTTTGGCTCGAAAATCTTGAGAAGAAGCACAACTTAGAGAAATCATTGATAGGTTTGATCGATTGAATATATGTGTTATAGCACTGGCTGCTAGAATTAGATGAAATTGATAATGCATGCAAACTCGAAATATTATGCTACTTTTGATATCTCTGAAAGTCGTGCAATATAGCTTTCTTTGAAGTCTTTCAATAATGGTTCGACAACTGTAGTTCCAGTTCTAAGAATTAAAAGCGGCTACTATTTTAGGATGGAGAGGCCAATCTCAACAAGATAGTTAAGGGGAAGCCCATCTGCTTCTAAAAGAAGTTCAAGATAGAAATACATGGGATGCACTAGGCATCAGTGCTTTTGGAGATTTAACAATTTTTACTAGCTTTGTCGGATTATATTGTATGTTTTGTTAGTCAAGAAGAGAATAGGGTCACTCATAAAGTGGGCGAGAAAGCCCTTAGTTTATTCCAATGGGTTTCGTTCCGTTCGACTTTTGTTCTTGAATTCGGTCTTTGTAGTCGTGTTTGCGTATCTATTAATACCTAGTAAAATACGACTATCTTTTGGGGGGGGGGACTTAATTAGCAAGTCGTGTTGCCCAACTATTTTTTTTTTATTTTTATAAGGGTGAATAATTAAAATAAGTCCAATGGTTGCTCTTCAATATTCGTACTATCATCGATAAAAATATTAAATATATTTTGCTAAACAACCATTAGCTGAAAAGAAATAAAACACAAATGAAAATTGAAGTCTAATAAATCCAATACTAGCACTCCGGTTGTGATTTTAAAACATTTTTATCAAAATTAAAAAACTACTATCTTTTGGTGACACCAACCCTCACAAGTCACAATTGGGTCGTTCATTCGTGTCGTGGATCCACCACGATTCTGATAAGTGATAGTGATAAGATAATCGCATTTTCTTTTCCATTAAATACATATATATAAAATATTTTTGAGTCCAACACAACAATAAAGACTTTATAGAAAACAACATGAAAAAGGAAATTTAAGTTTTTTAATTTTTATAAATGGCTATGACACGTCACTAAGTGGCTCCACCTTCCACCCTGTTTATGCATATACTTTCCCAACAATTACCCATCCATCCGTCTCCTCCGCAGTGTGTCATTGTCCGAGTCTAACACTCCCTCACTCACTAAAACCGCTTTCTCTCTCTCTCTCTCTCTCTCTCTCTCCTATCTCCCTCCCTCCCCTTCTCCCGTGGAGTCCTCCTTTTCCGCTACCGGATTCAGTTTCCGATCTTTCTGGAATTTCCTTTCCCCTTCCTCCCTCCTTTTAAGACTCACAGTTTGTTTGGGGAACAAAAACCTAAACCAGCTCTTTCTTGATCACGTAGCTAGGCCGGGGATTCGAAATACGCTTCTCCTAAGGAAAGAGAGATCACATCACATATGATTTATACATAGAGAGAGAGAGAGAGAAAGAGATTCGAGTGTGCCTTTTTGGGCGAGGTGGAGAAGAAGGGAGCGAGAGGTAGTGGTAGTGACGAAGGAAATCGCTGTATGTCAGCTGATTGTGAGGAGTCTTACCTTGGTGGAATCGGCGAGCTTGTGAACCCCTTGCAATGGCCTCAGCTTCGCAAAAAGCGAAGATTCCTTCCTCTGCATGTTGCCGCAATGACTCCTCCTCCTCCGGTTCAATTGTTCGCCGTCAGGCTTCCGCCGCCGGTGCTCAGCCAGAGAATGCCGTGCAGGATTGGATCGTCTCGTCCCGACGAGACGATCAGTATGCCTCCAAGACTGATATCTCGTCCCTGATTTCTCCCGTCGAGCGCCTTCCAGATGCTTCCCCCAAATTGCCCGCTGCCAAACGTACGCTCCTTCTTTCTCATAATCTGTTTTGTGTTTTTCCTTATTCGCGATTTCTCTATGCGACTCTGTATTTGTTCGGAGCAAGGATTAAAAAATCATACCGTACCGGCGGTCTGACAGTAAAGACCTCCTAGGCTAAAACGGTATTCAAAGATTTAGCGGTTGAACCACGATTAAACCAAGGTTTTAGATAAAATACTCTACCGGTGACTTTATCCGGTACGGTATAATCAATCCTCAAGGAACTGTTTGATCTACTTAATTGAGTTTTAACAATTTTGTCAATGCTCCTTGATATCCAGAGTGATTTATGTATGCAGGGACGATATGTTTCTTTTAATTCTCAGAATTTGGCGATTTTGATTGATTCATGGCAATCTGAACGCATGTATCATCAATTGCAGTTATGGCAAATCTTCAATTAGCTTAATTAATTATCAATAACATGATCTGAACTGAAATATTCCTTTGTATCCATCGCCTTATCTTAAGAGATTCTTGTTTTTTTTTTCTTTTTCGTTTGTTTGATTGATGCTCAGCTGTGATGCCAGTCATGTTGAGAGCGCAAAGCAGCCATCCATTGGACCCTTTGTCAGCAGCTGAAATTTCAGTAGCAGTGGCGACTGTGAGAGCTGCTGGAGCCACTCCTGAGGTCTCTTGATATCCCATGCCCCTTGCTTCTTCCTTTTAGATGCATATATCATGTGTTTGAAAGATTATGAAATGTGATCTAACTAATGAGGTGTGGTGTTTCGCGTTTTAGGTTCGAGACGGCATGAGATTCATTGAGGTGGTTCTGCTGGAACCTGAGAAACATGTCGTTGCACTGGCAGATGCCTATTTCTTTCCTCCCTTTCAGCCATCATTGCTCCCTAGGCTGAAAGGTGGTCCAATAATTCCCACCAAGTTGCCTCCCAGGAGAGCTAGACTTGTTGTTTACAACAAAATGTCCAACGAGACAAGCGTATGGATCGTGGAACTATCGGAAGTGCATGCTGCAACTCGTGGAGGGAATCACAGGGGAAAAGTGGTATCATCTGAGCTTGTTCCGGATGTTCAGCCTCCAATGGTGTGTGCTTTCTTTTCTCTCTGGTCTTTTGAGCTCTTTTGCTCTATATTTTCTTCTGAAAAACGTGCAATGTTGTTACAAATTGATAGTAGTTTATAAAAAAAAATCTCTTTTTCACGAGCAGGATGCTGCAGAATATGCTGAATGTGAAGCTGCCGTGAAAGAGTACCCTGCATTTAGAGAGGCAATGAAGAAACGGGGGGTCGATGACATGGACCTAGTTATGGTTGATGCTTGGTAAGAAAAATCAAGATACTAGCTCTCTCTGTGTATTTTGTGCGACAGATAGTATGCTTATCTTTTGTGTTATGAAACTGATTTTTGTATAGAATGTTATTAATTGTTTTGATTATGAATTTCTGTTTGTGTAGGTGTGTTGGTTATCACAGTGAAGCTGATGCTCCTAACAGAAGACTGGCCAAACCTCTTATTTTCTGCAGAACTGATAGTGATAATCCAATGGACAATGGTTATGCACGGCCGGTTGAGGGAATGCATATACTTGTTGACATGCAAAACATGAAGATTATTGAATTCGAAGATCGAAAGCTTGTCCCATTACCGACAGCGGATCCTCTAAGGAACTACACTCCTGGTGAGACAAGAGGAGGGGTTGATCGCAGTGATATCAAAGCATTGCAAATTGTTCAGCCTGAAGGTCCAAGTTTCCGTGTTAGTGGCCACTTTGTGGAATGGCAGAAGGTATATGCTCGTATTGTATCTATATTGGTTTATCTCTCTTTGTATGTTCACTAGTCTTGAGTCTTGTCACTGAAGCAATAATTAATAACATTTCTTGTGATTGCTTTGTATTTTGGTAGTGGAACTTCCGCATCGGTTTTACACCTAGGGAGGGGTTGGTCATACACTCCATTGCATATACCGATGGTAGCAGAGGTCGTAGGCCTGTGGCCCACAGGCTAAGCTTTGTCGAAATGGTTGTGCCTTATGGAGATCCTAATGATCCACATTACCGTAAGAATGCATTTGATGCAGGGGAAGATGGTCTTGGCAAAAACGCCCATTCTCTTAAGAAGGTGTGGTAATTGAACTGCTTCACTCTGTAATTGTGATGATGATCTTCCATTGGATCTGATAGTTATTATCACTGATGATTGCAGGGATGTGATTGTTTGGGCTACATCAAATACTTTGATGCTCACTTCACAAACTTCACTGGAGGTGTCGAAACCATTGAAAATTGTGTATGTTTGCATGAAGAGGATCACGGAATGTTGTGGAAGCATCAAGACTGGAGAACAGGATTAGCTGAAGTGCGGAGGTCCAGGCGTTTAACAGTGTCTTTCATATGCACAGTCGCAAATTACGAATATGGATTCTTCTGGCATTTTTATCAGGCAAGTTAGGAAAATCTGTTGTGCATCTCATTAATTTCTCTGTTTCTGAGTTTGGCATGGGAGGACCTTAGTTAGTTTGGCGCGAGATTCAGCGTGATGCGGGTCTTTTATATTTGTTTGGTTGATTGTGGCAGGACGGGAAAATTGAAGCTGAAGTGAAACTGACCGGAATCCTGAGCTTAGGAGCATTGCAACCTGGAGAAGTGCGGAAGTATGGGACAATTATTGCGCCTGGGCTGTATGCACCAGTCCATCAGCACTTTTTCGTTGCTCGAATGAACATGGCTGTTGATTGCAGACCCGGTGAAGCTTATAATCAGGTTAAATTAAAAAGTCTAGACCGTTTATTTTTTCTTTGGATTAAAATGAATTCGTATGTGAACGCATCCCTTGTTTCTGCGCGTTGCTGGTAGGTTGCTGAGGTGAATGTCAAAGTGGAGGCACCTGGTGAAAACAATGCGCACAACAACGCATTTTACGCTGAAGAAACGGTGCTGAGATCAGAGTCACAAGCCACGAGAGACTGTAATGCTTTATCGGCTCGACACTGGATTGTAAGCTCTCTTACCCTTGCACCAATTTTCTGTGTGACGGGAAAATGACGATGTAGAAAGAAATCCCATGTGTTTACTTACTTACTTACTGTGTTGGAATCAGATAAGGAACACTAGGATAGTGAACCGGACGGGACAACTGACTGGGTACAAGCTAGTGCCGAGTTCGAATTGCTTGCCGTTGGCCGGACCGGAAGCCAAGTTCTTGAGGAGGGCAGCCTTCCTGAAGCACAACCTGTGGGTGACAGCATATGCAGCGGGCGAGATGTTCCCCGGAGGCGAGTTCCCGAATCAGAATCCCCGGGTCGGCGAAGGTCTGGCCACATGGGTCAAGCAGGACCGCCAATTGGAAGAAGAAGACATCGTCCTTTGGTACGTGTTTGGCGTGACGCACGTCCCAAGGCTGGAAGACTGGCCGGTGATGCCGGTGGAGCGGACCGGCTTCAGCTTGATGGTACGCTACCGTCGTTTTATCGACCTACTTTTTTTTTTCTTCCTGCATTCGCGTCGTACTTAATTGTTTTGTGTTTGGTTGGTTGGTTGGTTGGTTGAGCAGCCCCACGGGTTCTTCAACTGCTCGCCGGCGGTGGACGTGCCGCCGAGTGCGTCTGAGCTGGATGCCAAGGAAAGCGATGTCAAGGTGGAGAAGAGTGGATTGCTATCCTCCAAGCTCTAAAAGCTAAACCCGTCTTTGTCGGTCAACAGTATCCTGCGTCAACACACTTTCTCGTCTCTCTGTGTTATCGCTCCCTTATCGTCGTCTTCCTGCAGCTCTTATCATGTGAGATGTGGATTATCATCAGCTTTGTCGTTTTGCGCTCAACTTGTTTGTCGTTTTTCTTTAATATATGTTCCGTAATGTGTACTTAAAAAGGTTTTGGATCTGTGTGTTCGGGTTTTAATGAATCGAATAAATAATTAATGACGTTAGAAAAAGAATAGTTGCATGTTTGTTTGTTTGTTTGTTTGTGGTGTTGCGTGCTCCAGTTCCTCTTTCGTTAACTCATTGGAGGCAGCACGAGGACGACCCACCAAGTCACTTTCTCCTCTGCAATCGTCATTCGTCTTTTATATAGCCTTTATATAATAATATTATGTTTACATTATCATACTTGCTAGCTCTTATCAAATGAATTCCCAACTTTGTGCACTTGTTGCTCTCAACTGGGTTTTATTATTATTATTATTATTATTATTATTATTATTATTATTATTATTATTATTATTATTATTATTATTATTATTATATGTTGTTGCTTGGATTTGCGTGATTTGGTCTAATGAATCAAACAAACAATGATACAAAAGTAAAATCATGTTCGAGATTTGGTTCTGATCTATGTTCAGACTTCAGACAACTATTCTATCCATCATGTACATGGGTTGTAAAATGGTTCAGCTACGAATTGGCATTCGCTCCTAAGTGAAAACCCAGATAGTTGAATGCTGAGCGCCTGAGCCTACCAGCATCCGTATTACCGACTTATCGTGTACATGGGTTGTGTTCCCCCTCACTGTAATATAATAATAATAATTATTATTATTATTATTCAGTTTTATGGAATATAGTATGCCTATTGCCTAGTCGCCAATACGTGAGTGACATGTTTTTGGTTGCACGCTTGGTTAGGCCATCTCCAATGTAAGTCACCAAAATTTGTGGACTTTTATCTCCAAATCTGGAGATTATCCCCATTTTCATCCTTTTTGCTTCAATGTTACAAAATTATGTTTTCTCTTTGTTGGAATCAGCCTAACATTTTTATTTCATATTCATTGGAGTTGGATTCAGGAGTTGATGTGGGATGTCGTGTAATGCTTTTACACCTTGTAAGAAAATTATGTTTTCTCTCTATACAGAGTAGATATGTAACTTTTTGATAGTGGAGTGATCGTTTTATTAATACGAAACACGGTGTACAGAGTAATACAACACCGAAAGTAAGAAAAACACCTATTGAAAAAGGGAATCTAAAAGTAAGCCAACAGTAGCCCAAAATTAACGAGGCCCAAAGTCCAGTCCAAACACATGGACCCCACTACTTACCCCAGAAATCCGAATTCCAGTTGGCCCAATCATAAAGTGTTTGGTGCCGCATGCATCCCCCCAGGACTCGTTGCCATCGAAGCCACCCAAACCGAGAACCACCGTCGGAGAAAGAGCCACCAGGAAACACGGATCGGCCGCCGCCGCCGAAAACAGCAAGACTGATCTGTGGTGTTAGTTTTTTTTAGTTAGCTTTCTTTTGGAGGTTTTGTTCTTTGGCTTGTGCTGTCCTAGCCGAAAATCAGGATATCGTCTCTTAGGAACTGATACAATGCTAAGTTCTATCAATTTTATGGAGCAAACTATAAGTCAAAATGGTTTAATGAGACTAGTTTCTAAAAGCAAAATAAAATAAACAAATCAAGTAAATGAAAACGGTCGGGATAAATTCAATGGAGAAAACTCTGAGAGAAACACGGGGACTCACTACCTATCATATCCAAATTAATTCACTTTTCTAATCAGTTTAATCTAATTCTCTGCAGCCAAGGATATCACTATTGTGCCAATTATCTCTATTGAGAATTACTACGTACCGAACAATCAATTGCAAATCCTACCATAGTAGCTCAATGAATTAACTGTTCAGTCTGAAAACCGATAATGAAAAGTGATCACTAATGAGCCCACTGCCGCTAATAACCCAATTAACCACGTATCATTGGTGCCAATCAACTCCGCTCGACTGCTTCCGCGCGGCACTCCCCTATTCCTGATCCTCCCAATTCAATCCAAGAATTGTCCCCCGGGCCGTTCTCCCATTATCCCCCCTCTCCCAAAAGAATTCTGTGGACCAACAGCAAAAAATAAAAGGGCCGGCCCAGTGGCTTATGATTAGGGAATTAATTCCTTCCAATTACTCCTTGTGGGCTGACAGGTCGACTTCAATTGGCCCAACTGCTTGCTACATAATCAGATCCCAAAGTCCTGGTCCACCAAGTTATACTCCAGTTTTTTTTTTTTCATTTGCCTGTGCTATTGAAAATTTGCAATCTGTATGTGCAGTCATTTTCTTCAACTGAAATACATAAAAAAAAAACTCTAACACAGGATGGTAATGGCTTTTCAACAATTCAATAGTCAATCAGACCTAAAACAAGTATCATATATCTCAAACATATCATGAAATAATCACATTAAACCTCAAAATCAATATGTTTTCGCCAATTATCACAACCCACACTCAATACTTGCTTGTCCCTAAGCAACGACTCAAGTATAAGAACTATAATTGGAGGAAACTCAACACAGACCAGGGAGACACAACCCTGCTATAAACACAAAAACCCATGACACACAAAACACAACATCAAGACCAGAAATTTACCCTTGTACTCTTGTGATAATCATTAGTTTATTTCTCAATGGATGAGCTGTGCTTTAATGATCATACCATTCACCCCTCTTTCAAGTTCTTTGCAACCATTTACCCAGTGGCGTAGCCAGAATTTTCTATAAGGGGGTGTCAATTTTTTAATCAATATATTTTATATGAGAAACTATTAATTTTTGCAATGACTCACAACATTTTTCTACTCTAATAAAACTTGTAAATTATATATTCTTCATCTAAACTATCAAAGACCTTATTGTCAATATATCCTATCATTTAGTGCTTCATAATTTTGTTAATCATTCCAATCCATGGCGGGTTACGGTAAAGACTCTCTAGTGCTCATGGATAACTGATGAAAGTCGGTTGAATGAAAAAATAGAGCCGAGCGACCATGTTTAAGAGGAAAAGTTTTGATTGGAATTGAAAAGGGAAACATAGTAATATTCTACCACAATAAGTTCACCTAGTGATATTGTGACGATACGAATGTGGTTCCATGTACAAGATTTCATTATAAACAATAATATACTCTTTTAACTTTGTTCTACCAAACTAAGGGTGTGCCAAGGCACCCCCTACTAACAAGGTGCCTCTGCCCCTACATTTACCATTGACTGACTCAAATTTGATGCAACTTACCAAATTAGCAACACTAAAATTTGATCGTCGTCGGTAGTGGGTAACTAACAACTTACGGTGAAACAATTAATCAAAATAAATCCGGCTTACTCACATCATTCATAAGTAACCAATTAAGCATGAGATTCTAAAAAACTTCCGGGGAAGCTTTTAGCAAACTTTATATTAACTTTAAGCGCATCACTACATTTTCTTACAAAGAGAGTCTTTTATCTCTTTCTGATTCTGATTCCCGAGCAGTCGTATTTAGTACAAGTGGGATTTGTTTCTTACTACCGGTGACCGAGCAGGAGCAATTTTTGCTTCTTAGCACTCACATAAGAACTTCGTTTAACTCCTTTTCCTTGATCCGTGTGGAGGGTCAATGCTATAGATGAGTGTTAGATGGGTGCCCTCTATGCACATTCTCAAATGGCACTTCACTCAGTGGGAGATTGTACTTTTTGTAACCCTGTGCAATGAGTGATTGCCTCGCACGATTTTGGTATTTTGCCCACGCTTTAATTGTTATGGCAAAATTCTTATATTTTACTAGTCAGGTAGAATTATTTTTCTTTTATAAAGAAACAATTCATCTCATATAAAACATGCAAAACATAGAGACTAATTGGAAAAGTCAGAAACTCACAAAAGATGAAAGTAAGCACGGTATCCAATCATATCGAATGGTCAATGTTTTCCGTCTACCCGCTTCACCCATAGCCATTACACTATTCTTCCAAAACTGAGTGTTGTCAATCGAGTTTGGTAGTTCAAAGCATAAAAAACATATTAATTACATTTTCTCTCTCTCTTTCACTATCTCTAGCAAGATCTCTCTCCCTTCTTTTTCTCAACATTTTCCTTGACTCCGTTTTGCCAAACGTGTGATTTGGCCAAAATTACTTATTCATATTACCTGAGGTTATCTAACGCCTAGGTGCACGAGTTTAAACACATCTTCTTGAACCATACTACTAAGTAAAGAAAATTATATTCCAAAATCTAGTGCCAGCAGACCAGCACATATATGTCTAGCTTACTATTTGTTATTGCCGACTCAAATGGCTCATGACTATGTACAATACAAAGTTAGCTGGTTCCAAGTAGAATATTCCCCAATTCTCCCTTTTTCCGTTTAGAGGTCAACCATTTTAAAATTTTGTTTTGTTTTGATGAATAGCTTAGAGTCAAATTCCTGGAAATAATGAATGAAACGTCAAGAGTTTGAAATTACGTTGATCCTTTTTATACTTTACAGAACTATGTAGCATGCATGGGATTGTCATTAGTAATAATTGTTTATGCACCTAATTACTACTTTTCGTAGTTCTGCTGCGCTCCATTATTTTACGTTCGTTGAAACTTCAACTTCAATTCGCAACGATGATAAGCTATTTTATTAAGATATTAAAATTAATACTAATCAGCTAATTAGATACGATGAATTAGTTTACGATTCATAGGAATCATATGCCTTATTGTGTGAAATCGAATGAGGTAAGAATTAATTCATTTCACCCAGAAACAAATTTTTTCGAAGTTTCTTCAAAGGGTTGTCATCACGCGATTGTTGAATGAGGAATTTTACATGGTATTTACTATTTTGATTTAAAAAACAATATTTATGGTACAAATTGAAAATACACATTTAAATTTAATGTTATTGTACAAATTTCATTTGTTGGTATACTTTATTTTGTAAAAATTCATTTACGGTACAAACTCAGCTAGCACCATAACGCAAACGGCAAATTTTTTTTATAGTACAAGCTGAATTTTGTATATTTATGTTATGATACAAACTGAACATGTACTATTACATACAGATACAAATTCTATCATAGTACAAACTAAATTTATACTTTCTAACACGTTATGATACAAGTTCAATTTGTATCTCGATCCGTCAATACGACAGAGTCAAGCTTCCGAGCTAAATAAGCATCAAGAGATATTGAACAAACTAGATAAAAGGTAGAAATAATTTATCTTCTCTTTTGTTCCTTTTGTCGACTCACGCTTGTCCCACTTCTTTTCACATATATGATAAAATAATTGATTATAAAAAAAAAAAAAGCTTTCACACTTTTTTCACTGTGTATATATCAATCACGAAGAAGAAGCGACTTTCTTACGTGAGTGGAA